TCAAGGTGAGCGCTCTACTGCTTGAGCCACAGCACCACTTCTGGTTCTCTAGTGGTTTATTGGAGATGAGTCTCAAAGATGGGACTGGGAAGGTGGCTCAGTGGTAGAGCGCTTGCCTTGCATGCATGAGGCCCTGGGTTCAATTCCTCAGCACCACATAAGCAAAAAGAAAAAAAAAAGCTGGAAGTGGCACTGTGGCAAGTGGTAGAACGCTAGCCTTGAGCTGAAGAGCTGAGGGGCAGTGCCTGGGCCCAGAGTTCAGGCCCCACGACTGGACCCAAAAAAAGAGGCTCAGGAACAGCACCCAGACCTGAGGTCAAGCCTCAGGACCAGGGAAAAAACAGGAATTCTTAACCAAAATCTATCCTTTATGTTTATAAATGATTTTTCAGCTGGTGGCTCACGCCTATAATCCTGGCTACTCAAGAGGCTGAGATCTGAGGTTCAAGGTTCAAAGCCAGCCCAGGCAGCAAAGTCCTTAAGTCCATAAGACTCTTATCTCTTATTAGCCACCAGAAAAAGGGAAGTGGTGCTGTGGCTCAAATGTTAGAGCCTGACCTTGAGCTGAAGGGCTCAGGGACAGTGCCCAGGCCCAGAATTCAAGCCCCACAACCGACCAAAAAAAAAAAAAGAATGTTTTTCCAAACATATGAAACTAACTTAGAAATTACAATCAACAGCTTAAAATCCAAATGTCCTCCTATTCCATTTAATCAATAAATATGAATTCAAAATCTGAAAAAAGCCTTGGATGTGGGCTGGAAAGGTGGCTCAGTGGTAGAGCGCTTGCCTTGCATGCATGAGGCCCTGGGTTCGACTCCCCAGCACCACATAAGCAAAAAGAAAAAAAGCCGGAAGTGGCACTGTGGCTCAAATGGTAGAGCGCTAGCCTTGAGCTGAAGAGCTGAGGGGCAGCGCCCAGGCCCAGAGTTCAAACCCCATGACTGGACCCCAAAAAAAAGAAAGAAGAGAGGGGAGTGGAGGGGAACGGAGAATAAGAAGAGGGAAAAAACTTTTCTATTATATATTTTATGTGCATTACATTACTTCGTCTATTTTTTTTTTAATTTACAGGTTGCATTTGGACACTGGTGGCTCATGTCTGCAACCCTAGCTACTCAGGAGGGTAAGATGTGAACATCATGGTTCAAAGCCAGCCATAGCAGAAAAGTCGTGAAATTATTTATTTCTCATTAAACACCAAAGAAAGTCCCAAAACCAAGTTGGAAGTAGCTCTGGCTCAAGAGGTAGAGTGATAGCCTTGAGTAAAACTGCTCAGGGACCAGCACATAAAAAAGGAAAATAAAAATAAGGAGCTAGGCATTGGTGTCTCATGCCTATAATCCTAGCTACTCAAGGGGCTGAGATCTGAGGATCATGGTTCAAAGTCAGCCCAGGTAGGAAAATCCAAGACTCCTATCCCCAATTAACCACCAGAAAACCAGAAGTGGAGCTGTGGCTTAATGATAGAGCTCTAGCCTTGAGCACAAAAGCTCAGGGACAATGCCCAGGCCCTGAATTCAAGCCCTGTGACTCACCAAAAGGAAAAAAAGAAGAAATCCTGGGATAGCTCGGTGGCAGAGACTTGCCATGTACATGGTGAAGCCCAAGTTTAATCACTAGCACCCAAAAAAGAGTCTACAACATATCTTTTTTGAGTAACTCATTTCCCATGGAAAGTACCACAAATACCTTTAAACTAAAATCGTTAAGAAGGAAATCCTTACCTATAAGACCCCCTGGGGCGGCATACTGAAGATCATTATGTTCTGCAAAAAGTGATACAATTTTGGAAAAGATGGGCTTACACATGAGTTTTCCTTCACTATCTTTGGAAACAATACCAGGTCTCACTTCTATCTCCTGGCCCACCTGTAAACAAATAATTGGTAATGAGAATTACTATAAAACAACCCAATTATCTTTTACCTATGAAGAATTCCACCAGGAGGACCACAAAACTGAAAAAGTACTCCTTCCTCTATTAAAAAAAAGCTAGCTGGGAATCTATCTTAGTGGTAAGTGGCAGAGTGCTTGCCTAGCGTGCATGAAGCCCTGGGTTCGATTCCTCAGTACCATATTAACAGAAAGAGTCCAAAGTGGTGCTTGGCTCAAGTGGTAGAGTGTTAGTTAGCCTTGAGCAAAAGAAGCTCAGGGACAGTACCCAGGCCCTGAGCTCAAGCCCCAGGACTGATTAAAAAAAAAAGTCTCATGTAATTGTAACCCCTCTGTACGGTATTTTCACAATAAAAAAACTTATTAACAATTAAAAAAAATAGAAAAGTAAAAAGATCACTATATTAAATAATAAGAAATCAACTGTTGCCGGGCACTGGTGGCTCACGCCTGTAATCCTAGCTACTCAGGAGGCTGAGATCTGAGGATAGCGGTTCAAAGCCAGCCCGGGCAGGAGAGACCGTGAGACTCCTATCTCCAATAAACCACCAGAAAACCGGAAGTGGCGCTGTAGCTCAAGTGGTAGAGTGCTCGCCTTGAGCTGAAGAGCTGAGGAAAGCGCCCAGGCCCAGAGTTCAAGCCCCACGACAGACAAAAAAAAAAAAAAAAAAGAAATCAACTGTTTAAAAAACAAACCTTGAAATCAGAGTCACTCAATATTTGCCAACTACCTTACCAGGTAGACAAGCCTACATATTCTATGAGATTTAAAGGGTAGACATTCCAAAGCATAAAAGCAAATAAACCTATATTGAATACCAGACAGTGAAAAAAATCCTTATTAGACTATCCATACTGCTCCAATCCAACTCCCAATCAAGACAAGAACAAAACTCAAACCAAAATCCTGACAGAAACTCAATTTACCTTTAATACTCCTTTTAGAATACTACCACCAGCAACACCTCCCTTAAGATCATCAACTTCACAGCCAGGTTTGTTGACATCAAATGATCTAATAACTAAAAGAAAATAAAACAAAACCACTTCTGTTAAGTTTAACTTAAGAAATATTCTTTTCTGAGTTGACTTTTTAAAATAATCGAGTATTACTGTAATATTCACTATAGTCTTACATAAATATAACGGGGAAAAATGGAAACAACTTATAAGTAAGTTCATTAACAGATGGCATATTATGGCATAGCTACCCTGTGGATTATCCATACTGTCATGTAGGTGTTAAAAAACGGAATCACCTAGAAGAATGACCTTAATATATAATATACTGTTAAGGGGAAAAAATGCAGTTATAAAAATAAAAATAATTCATGGGGGCGGGAATGTGGCTTAGTGGTAGATCGCTTGCCTAGCATGGATTAAGTGATGGGTTCAATTCTTCAGTACCACATACACAGAAAAAGCCATAAGTGGCACCATGGCTCAAGTGGTAGAGTGCAAAAGCAGCTCAGGACAATGTACAGGCCTTGAGTTCAAGCCTTAGGACTGGCATAATAATAATTATATTGTTATTATTATTCATGGCAAGTGCTGCTGGCTCACACTTAAAATCCTAGCTACTCAGGAGGCTGAGATCTGAAGATAATGGCTCAAAGCCAGCCCAGGCAGGAAAATCCATGATAGTCTTCCTTCTAATTAAACACCCCTACAAAGCCAGAAGTGAGCTGTGGTTCAAATGGTAGAGTGCTAGCCTTGAGCACAAAAGTTCAAGGAAAGCATCCAGGCCCTGAGTTCAAGACGAGCACAAAACAACAACAAATAAATATAGGAGGGTAGGAGTGTACCAGTGGCCCACTGGCGAAGGTACTGTTCTAAAATAAAAACATAAACACAAGGACTGTATGGTTCAAGTGACAAAAAGTAGGGGGCCCAGGATTCAATTTCCAAGACTCAAAAGAAAAACAAAAATGCAGTGCTGAGCCTTCCTAGACAGTACAGTGACATCATTTACATGGAAATCTTTCAACATCCTAAAATGTTATAATTCCATAGAGAACGCTATTATAACATATTGCTCACACAGGTGTAAAGTAAATGAGCACACAATGATTAGGTTTCCACTTCATTCAAGACTTGTCTCTCGTCTAGCAATACAATCTCAGAGTGAATCAAGTTTGAAAAACGTATCCATTTATCACTTCTACAGAAAAAGATACTAATAAATACCCTTAAAGGAGAATCACCAATGTAGAAAAGACTAGCAAAACAACAACTTCAATCACTTACCAATAAGTCGGGGTTCTGAAGTAAAGTCTCTTGGGGGTACTGGTATTTTCTTTACTATGTACTCACAGACAACTTCAATATTGTATTTCAGCTGAGCAGAAATGGGAATAATAGGAGCGCCTTCTGCCACCGTGCCTACGTGACAAAATTCAGACATCAGAATTCAGATTTGTACATCTTGTTCCACATTACATAAAATTAAAATTACAAAAAAAGAGGAGGCCTAACATCCCACACAAATGCCAGCAAAAAGTACAAAGTGATTTTTCTATTTAGAATGAAAATGAATTTTATTCCTTTCAAGGGGAAAAAATGTTCAAATTATATTGGCATACTTAATGTAGCAAAAACAATAAACCTGATTAAAGGAATAAAACACTAACATTCTTGGGAACAAGCGCTTTACTAGTTAAAAAGATTTCTAACATGTAATTAAGCTCCTAATAAATGTCCAAGATAAAATTATAGACTCTTTGCTCATCAAAGACTGCTAGCACACATAATATTTGTTCCTTATTAATTACATGTCACACAGGATAGTCAAAGAAATAGACCAAACATAATTAGATTTTAATCAAAATGACTTATTCTCTACCACATGACAGAACTGGGTTCAGAGGAACTTAACCTTTCTAAGAAGCAAAACAAAGCTAAGAGAATCATAAGTCAACAATATGATCTTGTCTTTCTAACATGAAAAGTAATAGAAGTGACATTATCAAGATTAAAAAATATTTTTTCAGCTCATTTTACTATCACTGAGGTTTTTTGCTTTTCTTTTCCAAGGTAGGTGGTTTGTGCTGAGGATTGAATTCAGGACTGCATACATGCTATGCAAGCACTGTACAACTGAGCTATGCTCCACCCTGAGGATTTTTAATCTTATCGGTAAGTGGAACTGAAGCACTTGCCCGACAAGTAAAAGTCAAGTGCATTCCTTAGTACTACAAAAGGGGGAAAATATGTTTCAATGTATAAAATTCAGAAACACATTTCACTAGTTGTAGCAGGTTGCTTACAAGTAGTTGGTAGAGAAGTAAGGCTTCAGACATCCCAGTTTACTTTGCTTTGGATAGAATACTATATATCTGGAACAAATACCTCTTGAAGTGTTTCAGGGTAGATATTAGTGATTGGTTATTATGGCATTTTACCTTGTACAAATGCAAGAATCTGTTCATACTGTTCTTTAGCCTGACTTTCTTTAACCAAATCAATTTTATTCTGTAAGATCAAAATATGCTTCAGCTTCATGATTTCTATGGCTGCCAGATGTTCCGAAGTCTGTGGCTGAGGGCAAGATTCATTACCAGCTAGTTGACAAAAAAAATTAAAAGATGCGTAAGAACAGTTAGAAATATCCAGGCCATGCAAATTCACAGAGACAAAAAGCAGATTATTGATTGCTAGGAACTAGAACTTATTAGTGGTGATGCTTACACTGTACAAAACTACAAACACACTTAATGCCACTGAATCCAATATTGTAAATAGCTTAAATGTAAGTTTTATGGTATGTATATATCTTAACTTTCACCATCACCAAAAAAAGGTACTACCATCTGGTAAAGGAAACTTCAGTAGCCCTACTAAGGCAAAAGTCCTGCATATCATTGCCAAATTTCTATCTTTTAGCCCTGTTCCATTCTGTTCCTCCAACCACTACCACCTCCCGCTCCACGTCCTAAGCAAGAAACTTGCAGCCAAGGCAGGAATTTTGGCTTTGTCTGCCTTGAGCTTTTCTTCAGGCATAAGGGATAGCCCCATGGCTCTGTCTAGTCTTAGAGATATTCTGGCCCAGTCAAGCTCCTGAGGGGCAGAGGATACCCCTTTTGAATGGAAGAACCCTAACTGAGAAGATAACAATGTGTTACAAAGAAACAAGTAGCACATTAACAATCATCCCTTCTCCAGTTGTGATGCTGATATATCCTACATCTCCTTGAAATCTTGTCTGTGTGCGCACGCACACGCACACACACATTGGCGCCACAGTTTGAACTCAGGGCCCTCCAGCTGGCATGGCTGCTGCTCTACCACTTAAATCATGCTTCCACTCTGGCCTTTTTTTTTTTTTTTTGGTCATCGATTCTCCAACTCGAACTCTGGGCCTGAGCCCTGTCCCTGAGCTTCTTTTGCTCAAGGTGGGCACTCTACCACTTGAACTACAGTGACACTTCCAGCTTTTGTGAGTAGTTTATTGGAGATAAGAGTCTCACGGAGTCTGCCCTTGGCTGGCTTCAAACCACAATCCTCAGAACTCAGCCTCCTGAGTAGTTAGGATTATAGGCGTGAGGTTCACTCTGGCCTTTTACTGCTAATTTTATCAATGGAGTCTCTGCCTTGGTTGGATTAGAACCTTGATCTTTAGATCTTAGCTTCTGGAGTAGTAAGATTAAAGGTTTGAGCCACCAGTGCCCAGGCTTCTTGTAAGCTCAAAAGAATTATATCTTCAGCCATTATTAAGAATGAGATTTGCATCTAAATCAAACAATTGTACAACTATAAGCAGACTGCAGAGGGGCAAAACCCTGACAACACATATGCATTTATTTTCACACAAAAGTAAACACCTCATGTGCCTTAGATGAAGAAAATGTAGTACTAACTTTGTTCTTTGGATACTGTCCTAGGAATTCTCGGAAACTATCAGCTCCAGTGTTTTGTGTGTGGTAGCTTACAAGAAGAAATGTCATCATCCTGGATGGCAATTTAGCTCTTATTCCTGTACCCTAAGGTAATGGATAAAACCTCAAAAGGCTTTAGTTCCCCTTTATAAACTCCACTTGCACTTGTTCCACACTGATTTTTCAAAACCATTTTGATGCTTTTACCTATTAACAGAAGAGCTGCATCCATCACTGCTGCACCGTTCAGCATAGTGGCCATCAAAATATCATGGCCTGGACAGTCAACAAAGGAGACATGTCTAACAACGGAGAAATATCAACTTTAATTTCTTAAATTACATAGGAAATTACTTCTGAAAATGGTCATACAACTCAAGTGTTTATAGACTTTAAAAGGATGATTATTATTAGCTAGTTGAAAATAAAATCACTACAGATTACAAAGCAAAGGCAAGTAGCTATATATAAAAATCTGAAAAGCCCACAATCCAATCTATGAATACATATGGTACAGGATGGTAGAGTATATGCACAGAATTTTTGAAAGCTACAATCTAATGATATAAAGAAACTATATTAACAGAATGAGAAGTCATTTGAGACAATTTATAGCAAATACCTCAACTACCTTGAAATGTACCTGGAATTGTATATTTGAAATGTGAGGACATTATTTTCATAAAGCTATGGTACTTAAACTTTTTTTTTTGTCAGTCATGGGGCTTGAACTCTGGGCCTGGACGTTGGCCCTCAGCTCTTCAGTTCAAGGCTAGCACTCTACCACTTGAGCCACGGCTCCATTTCCAGTTCTCTGGTAGTTACTTGGAGGTAAGAGTCTCACAGACTTTCTGGGCCAGGCTGCCTTTGAATCTCAAGCCTCAGATCTCAACCTCCTGATTAGCTAGGATTACAGGCATGAGCCACCAGCTCCTGGCAGAATTACTTAGTAATTAGAGACAACAGTCTCTACTTTTCTGCCCAGGCTAGATTCAAACTGAACCTCAGATCTCAGCCGCCTGATTTTTTTTTTTTTGTTGGTTGTGGGGCCTGAACTCTGGGCCCGGGCACTGTCCCTCAGCTCTTCAGCTCAACACTACTGTTCTACCATTTGAGCTACAGCACTACTTCCGTTTTTTTCCTGCTTATGTGGGGGCTGAGGAATCGAACCCAGGACCTCATGCATGCAAGGCAAGCACTCTACCACTGAGGCACCTTCCCAGCCCTCTTATAAGTATTTTAATTTTAAAAGAAATGACTTCTTGATTATAATTTCAGGCAATAAAATCCAAACAGGAAAACTATTCAGCAATCAAGATTAATGCTCAATATCTTGAGTAGTACAAAGCTAGGACAATAAAGTATAAATTATTTTTAGCCCCCTCACCCCCCAAATCACCTGACTAATTTGAAGTTCCCTTTAGTCCCTGGAATGTCCGTAGGAAACTCATCAGGTGTACCACTTCCACATGACTTGTAACATTCTGGCCGAGGACAACTTGGGTCATCAAGTTTATAAATCTAAAAGTTTCAATAAGAAGAGAAAAAGAAGGCTTAGATTTGTTATCTGCACAACCTAAGTTATATAGCTACAAGTTGCAGAGGAGACAGCTCACCTTAGCATTAGCATATCCAAGCTTGATTGTAATGTTTCTTTCTAGTTCATTTTTGAACCTGACTGTGTGAACACCAGAAATGGCTTTTACAACTGTGGACTTCCCATGAGCTACATGACCAATTGTACCTATAAAAAAAGTACCCAAAAATTAACTCATGTGTATTTAATTGCATCAAATAGTTTGCAAATAGTGTTAAGAATAGAAAAAAACCGTATCTCACTTAAATATCAATTTAAAACCAGCAAAGACTTCCTTCCACATTATTGCTTACTAAAAACTTGTTCTATTATAGGACTGGATTTTCCTTCCTTCTTTCATTTTTCCCTCAATTCCTTCCTTTGCAGCCAGTTTTGACCATGAGATACTCCTGTCTCAGTCTCCAGAGTGCTAGGCTTTAGGCATGTTCCACAATGCCCTCTTGAAGCACTTTCTATGTGATAATGTATTTTAAAAACCACATTCATCAAGTCGATGGCACATGCCTCCAATACCAGCTATCTAGGAGACCAAAGCAGAAGGATCACAATTTTGAGACAAGCCTGGACAACAGGAGACGCTATCTTAAAATAGAAGTTTATTTTAAAGGGCTGAGCATGAAGCTCAGTGATAGAGCACTCACCTAGCATGTATCATGCCCTGGTTTCAATCCCTAGTACTAGTACTATCTGTTTCTCTCAAAACAAAACACAGGGCTGGGAAGGTGGCTCAGTGGTAGAGCGCTTGCCTTGCATGCATGAGGCCCTGGGTTCCATTCCTCAGCACCACATAAGCAGAAAATAAAAAAGGCGGAAGTGGTGCTATGGCTCAAGTGGTAGAGCACTAGCCTTAAGCTGAAGAGCTGAGGGACAGCGCCCAGGCCGAGTTCAGGCGCCACGACCAGACTCAAAAACAAAACAAAACACACAAAAACAACCACCTCAGCATAAGAAAAGCTATTTGTCTTGGTACTTAATGGTATTTTTTGCTTTTCGTGGTACTGGGGTTTGTACTCAGGGTCCTGGCTCACTCCGCTTGCTTGCTTGCTTCGCTGATGTGCTACCACTTGAGCAATGCCTTCAGCACTACTTTTTGCTGGTTATTTTTGGAGGTGACACTCCATGAATTTTTCTGCCTGAGCTGACTTTGAACTGCAACTCTCAGCCTCCTGAGGAGATAGGATTAGGATTACTGGCATGAGTCACCAGTGCCTGCTGACTTGTTTATTTTAATCACAAGATTGCCCCCATTTAACTTATTGGTAAAGTGCTGGTCCTGGGGCTTGAACTCAGGGTCTGGGTGCTATCTCTGAGCTTTCTTTGCTCAAGCCTAGCAACATTACCAGTTGAGCCATAGCTCCATTTCTGACTTCCCACATTTAAGTTGAATAAAAAATACTAACAATCTTACACGCTAAGAAACATTTTAGTCTACCTAGAGTGAAATAAATGGGTATAAGCCCTGACATAAAAAAAAGGACTTCATGGAAAGAAAACCTAAATTTGATTACAGTAATGCTGACTTTAAATGACACCACATGACTTATACGTTTCTCATACGCTTAGAGTCTCACTTTTAACTAGTTTGTTCTGTTTGTACAAACTCTCAAAATGTCCAAATTTTACCAACAGTTACTTTAACTTGACAAATCTAAAGTTCCCTTTGGTCTCTGGAATGTCTGTAGGAAACTCAGCAATTAACACAACTTCTCAAAAGTTCTGGTACCAATTAAGACAAAAACACACACCTCCTTAATCATAGGTTATATCTCAAATAAAACTTTCATAAACGCTGCCCTTGAAACCCAGTATAGCAAGAAGAGCTGCATTTTCACCTCTTCCTTAAACTTCTGCTATAGATTATTACACACTGCTGCATGCTATTAAACTTTACATATATATTTTTTCTCATGTAGTCTGTAAATTGGACATAGGTCATACTTGTCTTTCCACCCCAAATATAGCAGATATTTTGCTCACAAGAGCTCACTAGCTATCTTTTTTTTTTTCTTCTGGAGACAAACTCACTAATGATTAGGCTGGTCTAGAACTTTAATCAAGCTTAATCCTCCTACCTCAGTCTCCCTAGCAGCTCAGACTACAGGCACACAGTATCACTGATAACCTTCAACACTTGCTCAGGCAGTTACATAAAAGGATAGATTGAAAATTACACATAAATCAGGTCTGTGGTACTCTTATCTTACCTATATTAATTGTGGCTTGTCTGCTGATAACTTCATGCGAAAGTGGTGTTAATTTTGTAACATCCTGCAATGAAAAAAAAGGACATTTAAAACATCTTGCAAGAGAAAAATTACAACTTTTCCCGATTACCTTTGTTACGAACTGTTAAACTGTCATCTGTATAGATTTCTCTACTTCTCGGCGCTTTTCCTGTGTCCAAAAAAAAAAAAATAGTTCTAATGGCTGGGAACCTCAATAAGCCCTTCTTCGTTACACAAGACACCTGTACTCACTAACGGGGTGTCTGGAGCCTTAGCAAGTCTATAAAGTATAGAGACTCCATTGTCACACCTTCGAAGGTTGGAACTTTTAATAACCAACCAGGACTGCGGCGAATCCCTCAGGAGCTTTAAGGTCCCACCATCGCACATGCTCACGCCCGGCTCGCGGACTGGCCCAGGCGCAGCCGCTGTGGAAGCGCCGCTTCGGGCGCCTGGCTTTGGGGTGCCCCACGCTACTGCACGCTGCCGGCCGCCCTGTTCCTGCTTCGTCCCAAGGCCTTCCTGGGAGGAGAGTCCATCCTCCCTCCCCAGCTCACTCAGCATCCCCTCAAAGCCAAACCTCACCAAGGTGGCGAGATCCTGGCGAGAAAGGTGCGGCTGCCCCAGAGTCACTCCGGCCTCGCCACCCGCCATCTTGCCCAGAGAGGAAGGAAGTTGCTGTGGGTGCCGCCTTGACAGTACGTAGGCCCCTTGGCCAGGGCGTGGAAGTGGAGGCGGGGAAAGTCGACTAGGCCATGGGTCGAGAAACAGGCATTCTAGGGACAGAAGCGCTTCATGCACTGGGTTTATTCCTGTTTGAATTTGCAGAAGGCCTACGATCGGGCTACTATTCTTTTAAAGACAGAGAGGATACACACTTTTGGGATTTATTCGCTGCAGACATGGTAGATATTTGGACAGGCCACGCTGAGGGCAGCCCCAGAGAAGGACCCCAGCGAGGCGGGTAATACCGTGCGACTGGCGCGCTGGCAAGTGTTAAGTCATTTCCGTTTCCTGTCTGGTTCATTGAAAGTGGCCCTGAGCCTGGGAGTCTGAACCAGGCTGGGAGATCAGAATGGCGAAATGTCCCTTTTTAAAATAGATTTTTACACATTCCTGTTATTTAATAAGTCAGGATCGTCTCGGCGGCGTCTCCCGTCTGGGATGGGGCTGTAGGTCGAGAGGAATCCGCATACCGAGCTGGCCCGGCTCTTGTAGCCGCGCGGTGTGCGGCGGGCGTTAAGGAGAGCGCCCTCTGGTGTGGATTTGGTAAAAAAGCGTAGCGGCGCAGGCCTTGGGAAAAGCAAAATCCCTCCCTTGTTCCCAGGGAGTGGTTTCTAGTGCCAAAGAGTAAGTCCGTGATGACGCTAGAGGCTGCGTGCCGAGCGACGCGCGACGTTAGCGTAGGTTGGAAGGTAGGTGTCGTGAGAGCGGCTAAAGTTAGCTTGCTTTTTAAAGTGGCAAGGACTACTTTTAAAAAAAATTTTTTTTAATTAAGAGACTAGTACTAATCTGCATTTTAATGGTTTGGGGGTGTATTTTTAAGGTTTTTTTTTGTGAAGCTGTTTTGCAATTCGTGTTTTAAAAAAAGGATTTTTTAAAAAAAAATTGTAAATGTGGAATGGTAACAATAAAATGGTCCTCTGTATGACGAATGTAAGCTAATTAAAAATATCCTCAAAAAGTGATTTTCGCCAGGTGCAGTGGAAAGAGGTGGGCTCCTACTAAGACCTTTGGCTCCAAAGACAAAACAAAAAAATTTTTTAAAAAAGGATTTTGAAGCCAGCCTGGCAGCCCTTAACATTCTTATCTCCAATTAACTACCAAAAAGGAATTTATTTAAAGCCAGAAGTGGACGTGTACCTTAAGTGGTAGGCACACCAGCCTTGAGCAAAAGAAAAAGCCAATCCACAGCACAAGGTCCCTCGTTCAAGCCCCAGTACCAGCAAAAAAAAAAAAATTCAAGGTATAGAACCCCTGTGTATAATCCCCAGAATTCCCAGGGAAAAAAGCAAATTTTATTTTTTCCCTCCTTGCATGTCTATACAATTTTAAATTCCAAACAGCTGTTTGTTTCCTTTTTCTTTTCCTGGCTTAGGCTGTCCTCTTAATTTGACCCTACTGCTTCAGGCCCCCAAATTCAGGGATTACAGGCTTGGGCCACCAGCTATTTATTTCTAACCAGAAAAAAAATGTAAGGAGAGGTAAATAAGAATTTAGTTGTCTGAGTGCAGATAAATGAATACCTAAGTAGATTTAAAATAAGCATGTTTTATATTACAAATGTCAAGGCTCCTGCCTTGTAATTCTAGCCCCTAAAGAGGCTGAGATCTGAGGATTGAGGTTCAAAGCCAGCCTAAGCTGGAAAGTCCATTGAGACTCTTATCTCCATTTAACCGGCAAAAAGCTGGAAGACACACAGGCAAACAAACATACACAGTGATAGCAATTTACCTAAAATAAGTTACGTTTCAGTAAGTATATTCATTGGTTAAGTAATGATAAAACTGCTGCATAATGGTCTTGGGTAGAGATGTTTATTTGGCTTTATCTTCTTTTTTTTTTTTTTTTTTTTTTT